ACAGTATGTTACCAATGGTGGACAAGCGAATAGCCTGGAAAATGATGTCCACTGGGATCGCGGTGATATGCTTTAGGCGGGTTCGAAATATTATCACCATAGCCAAGGTATAAGCTGTAATGGAGAACACCTAGCTGATCAGCGGAGACCAGAGATGCCAATTCGGACCACGTACTATGGCCGCGATGATGAAGTGATCATCGTACTTCAATCCGCCCGCCCTCAAGCGCGTCCATATTCGCAGGGCACCACTGCCAACATGAGGATGGTGATGGTGACGGTCGTGGACACCAGGCGCGACGCGTTCTGATCGAGCTTCAGGAGCTGGTTGATCTGTTCAACCATACCCTCGTCCATGTTGAGGGGATGCCGACGCGACGTGCGCGCGCAGACGTCGGGCTCGTAGCGGTCGGTGGTGACAACAGTTTGAACGTAGGACAGCCGGGGAATTGGAACCGGGGCGCAAGAAACCGTTCATGGGGGGGACGCTTAGGTTTTTACCTGCATACTTGGGGTGTGCTTGGGGTTCGGGCCCGAATGATGAAGGTAAGCGTCGGCGCTGCTGGCGTAAGGCGCTGGATGGTGGCGCCCCATGAAGAACCGTTGCAAAAGAGGAATATAATCACGTTTTGACGACGATGAGGCATCAGCGCTTGGCACTGGTGTCGTATCGTAGATGGCACAGGAGCTAGCTCCTATCATTGTCGCTTGCTGTGACATACCACGGTAAATGCTGTCCATTGTACGGATTATGTACCTTTGCGGCGGGGAGGTAAATAAAACGGCGGAGAGCTTACCGTAAGGGGTTATGTGCTAAGCTTTTAGCCTCGTCCTGCTCGTCACTGCAGAATTCTCTCCTGACCTTTTTCCGACGATGAGCAGATACGAGCCACGATTCATCGCACCGATATCCACCGCACTGCATGAAAAATGATAATTCGCAGAGCATCGGCGTCACTGGCGATCTCAATGCCACAGCGGGGGTGCGGCTGAAGGTTCGACTGGATGCTAACCTCGAGTAGATCTACCGTGGTAAGGAGCTTCGTGAGAACCATTAGCTCGCTTATGGCGATAGAAATGCGGGGGACCATGCAAAATGTACCACGATGGGAATGGCTCGTTGCCGGTGGCGTTCAGTGGCGCGTGGAGTGGACAGATCAAAAAGCAGCGAAGAACCTTAAAAAAAGGTACCATGATTCTGCAGACCCAGTGAAGTGCAAAATCTTACATCTTGCCTTCGGATCGTGAGAGCAACTGCGACTATAATTGTGACTGCATTCGTGAGTGTAGTATCCATGTTTTCGTCCAGCTTTCCCCAATCCACTGGCAATATTCAATGACCTGACTCTCCGTGCATCAAGAACCTTCATCAGTCTCCGCCGTAAGCCAATCTGATCGACAACGCCCATCGTCCTAGCGTGTTAGAGTATGTGACGCGAGTAATGGGCTGCCGAATGATGTCCGCGCATGCAAAAGTTGACTTACTCCAGATGAGCGACACAGCTGTTCAAGGGACTGCTAGTTCTACTAGATGTTGTTGTCTTCAGTACAAAATGGTGAGATCGGCATCCAGCTTTCAAAAGAAGAGCAAGGCGCAGTCTTGCGTGAATGCTGAAGCGACAGCCGGATACCAATTCGGGTGCGATCACAAGTTCCGCTGGCCTTTGAAAATATCGACATGTCCCGAAGCCTCACCATCCTCCCCGAATTGGCCACTCGGCACACGGGTACTTACTGCTCGAAAGTAAGGCCAGTTTTCTATCACTGTCCCGCCATCAACTTTGAACAACACAGGGTGACGTCTGACAGTTGCAGCGTCGTCAGTCCCAGTTCCACTAGTTCTCATACCCCGCAGCCGCGGCCAACAGTTCCATAGCTTACAACGAACCAGAAGTCCCGACTCCGGTGTCAATACCAGCATCACAGCTCCCCCGCAACCGCTTGATCGACCCCATGTTTCCCCCTTCCGGTTCCCTCAACCGATCTCCTTAACAGAACGCAGTCCCCGGATCCGCACAGCCTTCCCGTGGTACCCGAGCCCTATGGCCACCACAATAGCCTTGCACCAACCCCATCTATCCCCACGGTCACTTATATTACTTTCGGGCGAGCAACCGCTCATCCTCATGCCGTCGCCCAAATACCTCTTTTGTCATGCTCCGCGTTAGCGACAAATCCAATCAAGCGATGAATATAAACCACCTCAAGCTGCCCGTGTTCCGCCGTCACCAAGCCGCTTCCTCAAACCACCCAGCATGAAGTCCCTCCTTCTAACCCTCCCGCTCGCGCACGCCGCCGTCGTGACGCACCTCCTCCGTAGGTCACCCGCCGTCCCCGCAGCGCCGCTCTAACCGTCAAGAACCCCGGCAGTTCGATCTGTTCGGCCTGCAGGCGGGCATGGCCGGGCCCGTAAAGCCGGCCATCCTGAAGACTAAAAGCACGCCCCTCATTGACTCCGGCGCCGTGCGCGAGAAGCTGCTCTGGGGCCCTTTCCCGCTTCAACCAGCAAATGTACCCCCCCCATATCCCGCCGACTCTGACCTCGCTAACCGCCCCTCCCTCAGGGCTCTCACCCCGCGGGCACCACCCTCAAGCTCGACCCGGCTTCCGATGTCATTTCGACTAAAATCTCCGGCCTGTGCACTGACTGCATGGTTCTCTTTGCCAAAGCCGACCTCGCTACCAAGACGGGCGAGAAGGCGGACATCGGCCAGGGCGTCTACTCGCACCACGTCATCATCACCGACATCGGGCACCCGATGGTCATGATGCCCGTGACGGTGCGCTGCCCCGGCGGCGGCATGGGCGGGTTCAACTTCGGCGGGATGATGGCCGGGTCGAAGGGCGGGGACGCTGCGGCTAAGGGCGGCAGCGGAATGGCGGGGATGAGCCATGGTGGGCATGCCCCGGTGGTGCAGCGGCGACAGGCGAGCGACAGTCCGCTTAGTGGGCTGCTGGGTGCGCTCGGCAAGCTGGGTAGCACGCTTTCGACGCTTGCGCCGCCCATTTCGGTGTTTGTGGGCCAGGGGGACGAGGGCTCGGGCTTGACGTTCCAGACGAAGGGCAGCACGCTGAAGAGCGGGTTCTATCTCAGTGCGAAGGACCAGTTGAACATGATGGCTGAGGTGATCAACTACAAGAATGTGGGGCAGGATGTGTACATCACGCTTGAGTATGAGTATATTCCTAACCTACCGACGCGGCCGAAGGAGTATCTGGATGTGGGTATGGGTGCCATCAACGTCGATCCTTGTGGCAAGGTTGCGCTGCGTAGGTCACCCCGGTATCCCATTCCGCTGGATGATGCTGACCATCAGACCCCCCCGCCGACAAGCCCGTCAAGTACACTTCCCTCCCCTGGGACGTGGTCGGCGACGGATACCTGCTCGACATCCGGCCGCATCTGCACGACGGCGGCGTGAACATGACCTTCTCGGTCAACGGCAAGGTGGCGTGCTCATCGCAGGCCGTCTACGGTGGTACCGACGGCGGCGCTGTCATCAACGGCGAGAAGTGGGAGACCATCACGGCGTACACGCCGTGCGGAGACCACGTTGCCATCAAGAAGGGCGACAAGCTCACGATGGAGGCGTGGTACGATTTGACTGCTCATAGGCTGCGTCCCCAATCCACCGATCATGCCGAAAGTGCGGAGGGCATGGCGCTGGCGAACTTCATCTACGCGAAGCAGGTTGCTTAAGCGGTGCGTCAGTCACAACAGCAATAGAGGAGGCGATGACCGTCAAGAGACTCCCATGTAAATAACTATTATGGAAGCGAAGGAAGTAACCAATCGACTCGGAAGCCGTACTAGTGAAGAGAAGCGCCATTTTCAAACCACCTACTTCGCCGACAAGCCCGAAATTTACTCGCCCTTGTACGTCTTCATGCAAACTTCGAAGTTGATGCCCGCGACTGGGTCCTTCACAAAGGCAGCGTAATATCCAGGAGTATAGTTGCGCGGGCCCGGCGCTCCATTGTCCGTTGCGCCCTCCTTGAGGGCCACCTCGTAAAAGGTCTTGATCTCCTCGACAGCTTGCTCCATTAGCATGATATACCGGGTTAGAGGGACTATCTGAACTCACTCTCGGCCGTAAAGGCAATGTGTTGCTTCTTCAGGCTCGTCGTCACCGCTGCCTCGTCGTCCTGGCTGATCGCAATCCAAAAATAGGGCCTCGTAACGCCGAGCCCGACGACCTGCGGCACGGGGCGGATGATTTCCTTGAGGCCAAGATGCCCGACCGACTTGAGAAGGAAGGCAATGAGGGGCTCAAAGGCCGGAGCGGGGACAACGATGCTGAAGTGGTCGAGGGACATTGTTGCTGGTGAATTGGGGAGGTAAATTGAAGTGAGCTAAACGCTGGAGAATGTACAGCAAGTGCAGGTGAGAGGAGGCACAAGCTGGTGATGAGATGAGATAGAACTGGATTGTTAGCAGTCTACAGCGTCAGAGCTTCCTCCTCTTATACACGTCATCCCCACGCCGATCCTCCGCGAGGCCCCCCACGAGCGTCTCCGTAATGATCAGCTAAGTGATATGCGACATGATGGTGGCAGGCAACAGTGAGGGGCTGCAGGGCCATTGACGAATGGACGCGTACGCGGTCGGCAGGATTAATGAACGACACGGAATCAGGTGATGGCGCGGTTCAATTCGTCTCCGCAGCCAATTGAAGCTCCAGGCAAGAGCGCCAAAAACACGCCGCGGCAGCAAAAGCTGCAGCAGAATGGAGATGGAGGACGCCCAGAATGTACGGCGCCGGTCAAAAACATACAAAGTGTGCCGACGTAAATACCGAATGCAGCCTGCTGGGCTTAATGAGCGACGCGATATCAGCTGACAACGCAGTGCAATCCGTCTCCACAGCCAATGAAGCCCCAAGCCAGAGAGCCACAGAAAAGATTCCTACAGTAGTGCGAGACGCGGCGCAATGCGCTTATGGTACAAGCGAGACGGACACAGGTCAAAAGCCCAGCAAGGGGAGGTCAACAAAAACATTGGGCTCAACCGCGAGTCGAACGCGGGACCTCTCGCAAACTCCCGAGGATGGAGACCCAGTTGAACTGGGGGGTGGCGGCCCGAAGCGAGAATCATACCTCTAGACCATTGAGCCAATTGATGATGAGGGTGCGCGTAACAAAGTATAGATAGCAACAAATGCAAGCGGATTACCTTTGCCAACTCCTTCATCATCGCCTCCACCCTGGCCTCTCGTGCCAGGCGGGCGAACTCGTCCGTATGTTCTCGACTCCTAAATCGTTTGACGGAGGTAAAGATGCGACAAATGTTAGGGAATGAAGGCCAGTGTCAGCTCTTCCTGCAGTTGGTGGGTTTTCAACGGGCGTACGCTCCAATATGGGGCGTGGACAAAGGTGTCCTTGATATCATGACGGCAAGCTGTGCACCACTCGATGACGCGCACAGCGATATCAAGCGAAGTAAAATCAAAAGTACCAAAGGGAGAAATTGAAGGACGCTAACGATCCGGTCACCGAGACCAAACCTTGAGCACCATCTGCTCCCCAGGGATGCCGTCCCTCACGAGTCTACTCTTCGCACTCGTTTCCGCTGTACCAACTCCCACGACGGACCGTACCACTGAGCCAAAGACGCGGTCGAACACGGGGCGCACGAAGGGCGCACGACGAAATGATGGTTGCAGCGCCAACTTCGATGATATATCCGATGTCAGCGCAAACCATGTAAAAGGACAAGTCGTTGATGTGGACCACGGACACAGCATAGGTGCCCAGTGCACCGGCGCTAATTGTGCTAGATCGTCACTCAAGGCGACACCGCATCAAATCCACTCACATCAGACCGAGCGCAAATAGCGATACCACGCCAACTTTGTCGACGAGCGGAATCTGAAGCTGCCATCCCATGGACATGGGCAGCAGGAAGATCATCGCATCGATACCGACGTCTAGGATGCCGATGGTTTCAAACCCCGCGACCAAAACAATGCACTTTGCCTTCGGATTCTCCGGATCCCAGAATCCGGATATGGGTCGACAGACCAGCATCGACGTCCCGAGGACCCCGGCCATCCGCAGCACGATAAGCATCATACTCGTACGCCACGAGCTGGTGGCAGCCCTCGAGGAAGGAATCACAAACGAGCGTTCCGCAGATGCTGCACTTGACGAGGCCGATGGCAACGTGTAGAGTAAATGCATTGGGAGGGAGAACTCCATGAGGAACTGGCAGCGCTACGGCTCGAGGCTGGCGGCGTGATGCCCGATAGTGCCGAGAAGCACCACTATAACTGTTAGTCTCGGGACTGCAGCGCCGCAAGCACTCACTTTAGGAGAGCACGACGACGACGCCGTAAAAGTACAGCAGCGGCCCCAGCACCATCCAGTCCTCGGCCTACAGGGCCATACGGTACGCCGCATGCGACGTGACTAGAGCCGGGACCCGGTTCACAGCGGCGCGAGCACGCCCAATACGACTCCGCATGTGATGACGGTGGACGTCGGCGCGGTCTCGGTAACTGTGCTAGCCGAATGGCGAGGCGGCCATGAGGTCGGGTGAGCAAGACGGCGGCGGAAAGGGGCGTGGAGAAGAGCTCAATGTCATGATGAACCTAAAAGTAAAGTGCCGCCTCCCGCCCCGAATAGCAATGCCGCGATACAAGATCGAGAGGGATGGCCAAGATAATTGCGGAGGCAACGCCTGGTCGGTGAAAGCTCGCTACATATACATGCTTCTACGATCTCGTTTCCCCGCGATTGCCACGCGCCTCCTCGTTTCCGACTCCACGGACGTCCACTGCGCTAGGCCCGCCACCGTCGTGCAAGGTACCGGTGGTGTAAGCGGGAAGCATCCCGCCTTCCGTGCCGCCCCTCGTTGTTGAGCAACCTCCGGAACGGGAGACCGAGATACCGGGTATTGGGACAAGAGCGCGTCTGGGGGCTGCGAAATGAAGCATTAGCAGAGGAACGGCGGTGGATGGAGTCCGTAGATATCATCTCTCAATCCCGTCGCGCCCTTCTCTTCGCGACAGTTTTTTGTCCTCTTTCACGTCCGTCATCCCCACCTCTCTACATCTGCTTTTGGCGAATGGTAGCAGATCGCCCTCCTCCCAGGCCGTGACATCTCTCTTTCAGGCTACTGCTACCCGCTTCGCATTCTTGACGGCAGGAAGCCCCGCCTCGCCGTGCCGATCGATGTGATGAGGAGTATCGGGGCATATCCCGTAAGTTAACCCTGCGGGCACGTGGAGAATGTCGATTCGCTTCCAAAAAGAGTCATATGCGGCTGTAACAATGGTATTGCGATAGTTGACTGCCGGGGAGCGGAGTTGACGTCGGGATGCACAGATACGTAGTACAGAGTATCGACGAGAGGGCGGGAAATCCCGGCACCTTGAGCTTGGATCTTCAACCCGCATTCGCAAACCGTTGATTCTCCGCCGTCCAGCCCACAGTTCGACAGCGCCTCTGCCACAGCCGTTGGTATCGAGGTTGTCGCTGCCTCTCAACCATCAAAAGAAATTCTTCTATTTCATATAAATTACTTTACACTTTACCATCAAAATGGCCGTATGGCGTAATGGCAACGCGTCTGACTACGAATCAGGAGATTGCAGGTTCGACCCCTGCTTCGGTCAATGACGAGAGTTATTTTTTATCCTCGGTTTAACGTCTGGTCTCTCTTTTTCGTGTCAAAAGCTAGTTTCTCTGAGCGTGGGTCGACGGTGTGGCATAAGGAGCGCGGCATTGCATGCAGCGGAGCTAGCTCCGGCCGAATCTTGTTGGTGTAGACCCACAGCATCTGGGCGTTCTCGCGCCTCCATCACGCCGTTGACAAGAGTAGGCAACAAGGCTTTAGCGTCATCTTTTGCAGCATGTTATCGAGCATTCCGCGGACGACTAGACACAGGAACGAGGAACACTCGGTTAGAGGGATGGGGAGATCGGCTCCGCTTCCACATTGACCTCGTCGGAAATGTAAGAACTATCCCATCTATGCAGGAGCCACTTGGTCTGCCATTGGCCTTAGGTGCGTGGCAATCACAGTGTACGGAATGTCCGGATCGATCTGTACCACCCAGTGGCTCTCCTGCCAAACTTCTTATCCTTCTCCGGCTCCGATGCGCCTTTAAAGCCGCCGCGATGGCAACCTTCTTCATGGTGCTTTCTCTCGGCATCCATGCGAATACACAGGCCCCGGTTCGTGATTTCAACCGTCCCCGGTACCGAGGACGACCGCACGACGGCCGCCGTATGGGCTAAGAAGCGTGGAGGTGAGGCCTGGAGATTGATCGGCTTAACGCGGTGCTCGAACTTCGGAAGCTACCATGCGAGAATTGACTGCCCTACAGTCCTTTCGTTTCCCCCAACCGCCGAACGAAGGTTGGTCAGGCTTGCTATACAATGGCGGCGTATTGACGCTGGATCTGCTCCTGAGGGCAGTAGGCGATATCCTCCATGCGGGTTGTCTGACGGTGGGGGGTCCATCACATACGGTATCTGCTGACTGTCGGCATCCACACTCCTTGGTGAGGGAGGACTCGTTGATGCCTATAATCTTGAGATAGTGGCGGTAGGCTCACCTTTGTGTCTACCCTCTTTCACTCGGTACGGGACAGGAGACTTTCCTCAGCGGCTTTAGGACTGTTGATACAGAGGTTTGAAGGAATCGATATCAGCAGCCAACCCGCGATGCGGCTCGGGCCAGAAGACTAGAGAAGCCGCTTACCACCGGGGGTTTTAAAAGAGTCGAGACTTGAACCTGGCGATACGTCTAAGTATTCCCTCGAAGTTCCCATCCCGCAGCCATAAAGCGCCCCTAAGCGTTGCGGCGAAGCCACCATCTCCGGAGATCTTGAATCGAAACAAGCTGCGAGTAATAACGGTCGGTTTCAGTCTCCGCTCTAATTGAATGCATCTGTAGCCTTCCCCCCGGAGATCTCAAGTTCTCATGCAAGAGCAACTTATATTTTGCTAACCTTGGGGCTCATTCGGCACAGAGCCGAAGCGATCACCCTCCCGTGCACGCCCAGAGAGATGCGAACGTACCAATGAGCAACATTAACCCTAACCCTACCACATAGGAATATAGTCCTGACATCTAAAGAAGTGATCCCCCCAATGCACACCAGTATGCAAAGCCTCCTCCTAGTTCACGATGCTCAGATCCCATTCCTATCCATCAAAACCGCACCACGTCGCCGCCCAAAATTCCCCTTAAGTCCCCATTGCGCCCCATCCCCTCTCGCAACTTCAAAATCCCTCAGCCCTCACCGCAATACCCAAAAGAAAATACCTCCGCCAATTTCCCCGACGCTAACCACCCTATACCCCGCCCCGCCCCGGCCCGCACTCGCCCGCCCGTGCACCAAATTACCCCGCACCCGCCCCTAGCCCCGCACTTCCTCAGCCTTGCTGCCATCCGCCCCCAAAACGCATCCATCCTCCTCCCCTCTCCCCTCAGACTCATACCACACCTCCTCCCCCCAAAAGCCCCATCTCGCGCTCTTCTCACGTTCCTCCCACACTCTTCGCCCCCACCATCTCCCCCGGTACTCGTTTACGTAGTCCCCCCGCCGGGCTGCACCGCATATGCACGCCCCGCCACATGCGCGCGCCACGGTACGCCCCGCATCGCTGGGTCAGGTGGCGGAGGAGCGGGGTATGCGATATGCGGGGCAGATGAGAAAGTCCTCAGTGAGGGGTAGGCAAGCCGAAGGGCAAAAGCCGGGGAGAGGAAATGGGGCGCGCGGGGCCGGATTAACAAAACAAGATGCTGGAGGAGGCTGAAGACAAAAGTCGAGTTCAGTTGCGATGATGTTCTCGCGCCAGTTTTATGTACTCCATGGACCAGTATCACACCAGCCCTTCCGCTAAAACGGAGCACTCCAAAAAGCCCCATCCCAACTCCCCATCCCATCCCATCCCATTCTCCCATCCCATCCCATTCTCCCATCCCCCCAAACTCCTCCCCAAAAAAAAACCCCCATCTACCGTCTCCAAACCCCAAACCCCGCAAACCTCACACTCCCCTGCCCACGCCTCCACCCCCTCACCCCCTCCAACGCCTCCCGCTGCCTCTCCAACCTCGCACTCCGTCGCTCCAACACCGCCCTCTCCTCCCTCAACCCTTCCA